GTAAAGTTAGAGACTTAAGCGACCCGTTCCAATTGCTAAATTTATATTTTAAAAACATTTTCAAAGTTAATAAATATGCAACGAAAATTATAATTAAATTGTTTGGTTATGTTAGTCTTCTTTTTATTTTCTTAAATGGACTAATCCCATGCGTGACTTAAGTCAAAATTAGTTCAAATGAATTGTAATTACTGATCAGTGCGACATTGTCAAGCGTGTTCCTGATATTTTAAAGGACTCCGTTAAAATTAATAATTTTAAACAGTCCTCTAAAAATTGTGAATATAGAATACCGTTTTCAATTAAAAGAATGGGAAAATACGCTAAAACATGAACGGATCAATTTTTTTTAGAGCATTTTAGATCATTTTCGACCCTTTAAAACATATTTTTGAATACATTTTTCGCCTTGAAACCCCTCAGAATTAATTTTGTTCTTACCCAATCGTGCTAACCCTACGGATTTATCTGTAGATCTACCGATTTTTACGATAATCATCGATTTTCCGATATGACAGCTTTTTTTACGGATATTTATTTCCGACTTTTATTTTATGTTACTTTTTGATAAAATCCTAAAATTTGTTTATTTATTGTTAATAGAGCTAATTAAAACTATTATTGTTCTTTTCGTTGGTTTTTATTGTTTTTATTCGTATTCTGTTAAATTTGAATATTTTATTTATTATTTATTACGAAATGCAGCAACAAACATCGAACGTAGCGCGTTCTGGCTTGGATTCGTCAAAGGTCGTTATGAGTTTTCTATCCATAGCATAATTATCTTTGGTTTTACATATTTCTACGGATTTTCGATTGCCTCATCTACAGATTTTGCGTTTCAAAATGTTTACAACACTGTTCTTGCACCTTAAAAGTCTAAATGTGTCATCCAATGACGATCCTAAATACACGTGAATTAAATAATTTTGATTGATTTCTTGTAGTAAAAGCTGCTAAATATCAATATTAAACTGTCCATAGAGCAATAAACCATACAAAATATTTTCGTAAACGCTTATAATTTCTTAGTATTTGATTTTCAACATTTTAAAGCTGTTAGTTACTTCCTTAGAATATATATAGTCAGGAAGGAGGAATCCTAAACGACCTTGGAATCGCGATGGTATCTAAAATATTGACTTTTTACGTCTTTATTATGACAATGTCTTTATTAATCTACATTTTACAAATTATTAAGGTTTGAAAAATAAATATATTTTGTAGATATGCGTTAAAAAAAATTAAATATCCTATACTTATATTAACTTTGTTTTTTGAGAATCTTTAGGAAATCTGAAAATTGTCTACCTGGGATTAATTTATATAATTTGTAAATCTAGATTCTTTAAGAAATCTGAAAATTGTTCACTTGCAACCAATTTATAAATCTAAATTGAACAATAATTTATTCATTTTAACAATCACATAAATATCTTAAAATTGCATAAAATAATTATTTAAATAAAAGTATGTATACCCTATAAACCATGAGACTACGCCTATGAGCACAGTTGATCGCAGACGCACTTACCATGTTTGTTTACAAATTTAAAACATTAAAAATTTAAAAATCTTTAATGTGGTTGAAAATTAAGAGAACAAAATAATTGCTTATGAAATGTAGATTATTCCTTTCTACTTTTAGCTGTGCTGCTATATCCACAAGACGAACAACTGACCATATTGTCTTATTTGTCTTTTAACGCGGAAAATTTAAAATTAACATTAATACTAAATAAATACTAAAACACTAAACACTTTTTAAAAATGTCTACAAAACATACGCTTGATCAAAGTTTAAATTAACACATAAAACATACAAATTATTAACAAATTTCAATCACTAAAATTATAAACCAATTTTAGAAACCATTTATCATATGATGATGAGTCATCCATAGTATAACATGGCTACCACTTCCGTCAGATCGATTACATTAACGCGGACACGGCATGCTCCTTCCTGACTATATATGTTCTAAGGTTACTTCGTAGTGACATTTTATCTACTGTCAGTACTATCGTTTGAAAATATCTAAAAAATACAGTGTTGCCTGATCAATTCGAACATGTAAATCGTCATGTTACCTGTGTCCTGCGCTGTTCCGGGCCATCAAAAAATGCGACTTTCGACCTTTTTTCACACAATCTCTTGTGATTGTGAACAAGCTACAACTTCTCGTAGGGTGGCGGCTTCGCCGCCACCAGAATTTAACCCATACCTGGCTACGCTGACCGACATAGATCCCAACGGCCTGGACACAGCTCAAATTGAATAATTAAAATGAAAAGTCTCAAATAAACTTATTTATATTCTAGTTTTATCATCTGTCCTGGAGCTATTGAAAAAACAGCCACTGTCATTCCTGTTATATACGTTATCTTACTATATTTGGCAACACCGCATTTATAGAAATAGAAATGTCAGTTGTCATATTATTCATGAACAAAAATTATTTAATATCATTATTATTTCAAGATTTTAAAAACCAAAAGTGAAGAAAAATTAACGTTTACAGAATTTTTTTCTTGGTTTATTGCTATGTGGATAGTCTAATATTGTTATTTAGCCGTTTCTACAACAAGAAATCAATTGAAATGATTTAATTCACATATTTTTCATGGTAGAGTCTAGACAAAACATTTTTATGATTTTAAGGTAAAAAAAAACAATTTTTAATTATTGTCAGCGAACCCTAAATACTTATGTGAGTGTTCGACAAGATAGTAATATGTCTAGGGTGATTATTTTTTTCGACTATTTTTTTTATTTTCGCTCCCGTCCTGAAATTTTGTTGAAAATGTCCCAAAAAAAATCCCCTGAAAGTTTGAGCACTTAATATTAATATTAAGTCCTCGACCAAGGCGTGCAAAGATTTTCCATTTAAAATACACGTAAAATTAGGGTTTTTTCTTCAGATTTCTATAGCTTAGCGGAATTTCATGGTATTATTTCAACCATAGACATGTATTTCTCCAAATTGACCGCTCTACATAAGTGTCTATTGCGGCGATGTCGTAACTCACACCGGCGAGGTAGTAAGGGTCACTAAATCATGAAATTCACGTTATTTCGACCCTATGTCATAATTGAGAAGAGTTACAGAAAAAATGTAAATAACAAAGTTGTAGGATATTTAATTTACTACAAAAAATGTCCTGACAGCCAAATCGCTAAGATCAATATTTGTCGAGATTCGTTATATTAAGCCTTGAATTAATTTTACTGTAAAATTTTTGCCGATTATTGACTCAAACTTTTTGAAATCATGTTTTTTTTTGTATTATTACACTTTTTGTTCAATATATTTTTTTAAAGTTAGAATACTAGAATATGATTAATATCTTACATCGTTAAAGCTCATATTTGAAGAATCTTTAACAAATAAAGGATTTACTGGTTCCTGCATAAAACATACAAATACAATTACTTTTATATAATTTATATATTACTAACATTTATTAAATTATAATAGTTTGAATCATATTAACAACAATAAATTATTTATGAAAATAGAAACAACAATACCAATAAATTATTATTGAAAGTAGAAAAATTAATCGTTACATTGATTCATTGTTAATATATTGTGATTTTTTACACGATGTGTATTGAGAGCGATGATGCTGAACAGTTTGAAAAAATTTTGTCTCTCAACTTCGTTATCAGTTAATGCTTCATTAAAACTTTCGGCTAGTGCTACTCCCCTTTCTGCAGTATCGTTAACCACTTTTAACATTTTAAATGTATCATAATACAAAAAAACCAAGATTTCAAAAAGGTTCAGTCAATAATCGGCAAAAATTTTACAGTAAAATTAATTCAAGGCTTAACATCTCGAATCTCGACACATATTGATCTTAGCGATTTGGTTCTCAGGACATTTTTTGTAGTAAATTAAATATCCTACAACTTTGTCATTTACATTTTTTCTGTAACTCTTCTCATTTATGACATAGGGTCGAAATAACGTGAATTTTATGAAAAAATTCGATTTAGTGACCCGTACTACCTCGCCGGTATGAGTTACGACATCGCCGCAATATAGACACTTTTGTAGAGCGTTCAATTTGCAGAAAATTTATATTTTTACGACCTTCAAATTGTACAGGATATTTTACAGAATAGACCCCATATTTTGTTAATTTTTTTTTCTAACGTTTTAATTAATAATTATGTAAAGACTGATAGATATTTATCTACTGTTATTAATATACTATTAAGGGATTAACGCAGCACTTTTACCAGTCAGAGTCCAGGAATCCTGAAGAAACATACATTCACAAGTGGCAAAAAAGTAATAAAATGAAATTAAAAAGACTAGTTATAGACTCTTCGAGTCCTTAGGGGTAAAAATGCCGAGACTTCACAGATGCTCGGAATATTTCATAACTTGTTTTGGAAAGGAGATGAGAGAATAATAAAAACAGAAACATATGTACATTTAAAATAATTAAAGAATATTTAAGGGATAAATATTGATCAATATAAGATATATAACACGAGACGAAAATGGAAAAATTGACATTTATATATAAGTCAATAAATTAATTGTGTCAAAACAAAACCAAACGTGTTAAAATAATTTAAAGATATTTACCCTTACCCTCTGCACAAAACTTTGGTTTACACATTGAGGTGCTTCGGGTTCTAGAGTTCCGAAAACCTCGTAAACACTGGAGAGGCCTAATGACTAGAGTTTCGAGATCTAGAGTCCCGAAAACCTCGTAAATACAGGAGAGGCTTCATGGCCAGAGTTTCAGATCGCAGACCCTACTCGAGTCTCCCGTCAACTATCGACAGTCTATTTAAACCCAAAATGTACGTGACAGTTTTACTTTTTAGAATGTCAACATACTACTTTGAATAACTCACTAATTTAATGTAATGAGGTATAAATAAAATGTCTACCTCTTCAACCTGTATTTCTGTAGACTATAGAGTGATTATATGTGACATTGCGTTTTATTTATTTTAATATAATTATAACTTCTAGCCGAACCCGGCGAAAAAATCGCCTCGGCCTCCCTTCTAGAACAAGCAGCCAAGGCGGCGGAAAGTGTAGCAGACGAATTAGCCAGAGCAGAAGGTCGCGAAGTCACTTTATACGAAGATCCAGCTCCCACGCTGCAACTCCTACTACCCGACGACGGTTTCAGTTGCGACGTCGTGCAAGGCGTTCCACCAGGTCTAGCGGATTTCCTCCATCCCCTACAAGCTTCCGGATTGTGTCGACTGGCTGCCCAACCCACCAGTTCGGGCCATTGGACTGTATACATGTCCGCACCGAGGCCTCCGTCGGCCATGAGCGCCACGCAACCAGAGGTAAGTACATGATCTTTAAATTGATTTCTTACTGAGTATGAAAGTGTAAAAGTTAATTTAATGGAAAGTTAATGTATTGAAAACTGAAAATTATTTGAAAATTTAACAAATTTTACTTACCATAATATATCCATTACGATTACCGATAAGCTACGTACCAGTGACATGCCTGAATATTTTTCCTAGGAGGGTATAATTATTAAATGTTAATATTTAATATGAAATAAAACTGAAACGTTATTTATAACGTTACATAGAGATGCTGTCAAATAATTGTATTACTCAAATTATAAATATATTCATAGTAACTGTTACTCGATCCTAACCATTCAAATCTACTACCCTCGTCCCTAAATATTTCTTACTCTATTGTCAGTTTGTCGTACATTAATCATCCCCCGTTTTAGGTACAAGTGATCAGATTGCACAAAGCAGGCGGAGGAATGGGACTATCCATAGTAGCCGCGAAAGGAGCCGGACAAGAACGATTGGGTATTTACATCAAATCGGTGGTGCCGGGCGGAGCTGCGGATAGAGATGGCCGACTGGCGGCCGGAGATCAACTGCTTTCGGTGGATGGTCAATCTTTGCTGGGTATAACGCAGGAAAAAGCTGCGGAATTTCTGCAAAGAACCGGCACTATTGTGACGTTAGAGGTAGCCAAAGCTGGAGCTGTGTATCACGGATTGGCAACGCTGTTGCAGCAACCGAGTCCGACGCCTCATCGAGGTTAGTTTTATTTTTGGTTTAGATTATCATCTTGTGCAGTTTTATTTTGTTTTTACCATAATATCAGAGATTTTAAAACCATTGCAGGTTTACTGGAAGTATTAGTTTTATTAACGTGTTTGTTTTTGTTTTTCAAAGCACGAATATGCAGGTGCATTCATGTTCATATCCAACCATATGGGAAGTATTTATAAAATAAATTGTATCGCTAGTTTTCGAGTATTTTTGCTAGATATTTTAAGCTAGGTTGATATAAATTACGAATTTTTATTTGTTTTCTATCATATTCATCATATGTTTTCCAAAATACACCCATAGATTACTTTACAAAGTATTTTTAAATGTACCTACATGTAAAACCTTAAAGATAGGAACGTCATTTTAATTAATATACATTAATTGTTAAGCGATATATCACGAACTGTTATTTATTTAGACAAATTAAAAATATTGAAAAAAATTCTGCTTCGAGTGTGGTTCGAACCCGCGAACTCTGGTATACCGTTCACTTGTCGTAACCGCTAGACCACTTGAGCAGTATCGGGCGATCTAGTTGTCAATTTGAGTATTTAGATTCGATTCTGACCTAGAGCTAGGCGATTATCAAGATAAATAATCGATTATTTTCAAATCGGAGCGAAAATAATCGATTAAATCGAAAAAAAAAATTAGTCGAAAATAATATATGAAATCGATTTAAAGAAAAAAATCGATCAATTTAAAATAATTTATTTACGAAAATAATTGATTAATCGAATTAAGCTGCTAATCGATTTATCGAAATCGGTTATTTCGATAAATCAATTATTTCGAATAATCGTTTATTTGATAATCGAAAATAATGGATCAATTGAATATAATCGATTTTTAAAAATAATCGATTAATTAAAAATCGTATTATCGAGTAATCAATAAAAAATAAATTATGCGAAATAATCGATTGTTCGAAAATAATCGATTAACCAAAAATAATTGATCTGAAAATAATAGATTATTCGAAAATAATTGAATAAAAAAAAATCGATTATCGAAAAAAATAATATTAATCGAATTAATTGATTATCAATTTATCAAAACTAATTGCCTAATCAAAAATAGTCGATTTATCAAAAATAATCAATTAATCAAAATAATCGATTAATAGAAAAATCTAATTAAAAATAATGAAATAATCAAAATAATCGATTAATCTAAAAATCGAATTAAAAATAATGTTATATTTAAAATAATCGATTAATCGAAAAATCTAATTAAAAATAATGAAATAATTGATTAATCGAAATAATCGTAATAAATAATCTTAATAATCTCTTAATAATCTCTTAATAATCTCTTAATAATCTTTTAATAATCTCTTAATAATCTCTTAATAATCTCTTAATAATCTCTTAATAATCTCTTAATAATCTCTTAATAATCTCTTAATAATCTCTTAATAATCTCTTAATAATCTCTTAATAATCTCTTAATAATCTCTTAATAATCTCTTAATAATCTCTTAATAATCTCTTAATAATCTCTTAATAATCTCTTAATAATCTCTAAATAATCTCTTAATAATCTCTTAATAATCTCTTAATAATCTCTTAATAATCTCTTAATAATCTCTTAATAATCTCTTAATAATCTCTTAATAATCTCTTAATAATCTCTTAATAATCTCTTAATAATCTCTTAATAATCTCTTAATAATCTCTTAATAATCTCTTAATAATCTCTTAATAATCTCTTAATAATCTCTTAATAATCTCTTAATAATCTTTTAATAATCTCTTAATAATCTCTTAATAATCTCTTAATAATCTCTTAATAATCTCTTAATAATCTCTTAATAATCTCTTAATAATCTTTTAATAATCTCTTAATAATCTCAATAATCGAAATAATCAAAATAAATAATCGAAATAAGTGAAATATTCTAAATAATCAAAATAATGGGTTAATCGAAATAATAATAATCTCTTAATAATCTCTTAATAATCTCTTAATAATCTCTTAATAATCTCTTAATAATCTCTTAATAATCTCTTAATAATCTCTTAATAATCTCTTAATAATCTCTTAATAATCTCTTAATAATCTCTTAATAATCTCTTAATAATCTCTTAATAATCTCTTAATAATCTAATCTCTTAAAAATCTCGTAATAATCTCTTAATAATCTCTTAATAATCTCTTAATAATCTCTTAATAATCTCTTAATAATCTAATCTCTTAAAAATCTCGTAATAATCTCTTAATAATGTCCTAATAATTTCTTAATAATCTCTTAACAATCTCTTAATAATCGAAATAATCAAAATAAATAATTGAAATAATCGAAATAATCGAGATAATCGAAATAAGTGAAATATTCTAAATAATCAAATTAATGGGTTAATCGAAATAATTGATTAATCAAAAATGATCAATCGATCAAAGAAACCGATTAATCGAAATAGTTAATGAAAATAATCGATTAATCTAAATAATTGATTAATCAAAATATTTGGTTAATAAAAAAAATGATTAATCAAAAGTAATTGTTTTTTTAACAAATTAATTGACTAATCTAAAATAATTGATTAATCTAAAAAATGACTGAGTATAATCGATTAATCGAAAATAATCGATTAATCTAAAATAATAGATTTATCGAAAATAATAAAATAATGGATATAATCGATTAATCAAAATAATCGATTAAGTAATCGAAAAAGAAACGATTAATCGAAAAATTGATGAATCGAATAAATCGATGTATCGAAAATAATCAATTAATCGAAAATAATGGATTAATAGAAATAATCGGTTAATAATTGTATATAGAAAATAATCGATTGGTCGAATAAATGATATAATCGATTATTCGAAATAATCATAATTGAAAAAATTGATTAATCGGAAAAACCGATGAATCGAAAATTATCGAAAATAATGAAAATAATCGATTAATCGAAATAATTGATTTTTCTAAAATAATCGATAAATAAAAAAAAAGATTAATCGAAAAAAAAAAGTTACTCGGCAAGCCGGATTCATAGAAAAAAAAAATAATTATAAGATATCATCGATTAATAGAAATAATCGATTAATCAAAATAATCGAATTTAAAAAAAAATGATTTGACTAATAGATTATCGATTTTTCAAAACTAATTAATTGATTAAGCGAAAATAAACGATCAATCGAACATAATGGATTATTTGACTATCGATTTTTCAAACAAAAATCGATTTGATTTATCGATTTTTTTGTCCACCCCTAATTCGGTTTATCAGATTGTTTTTCAATTCTACAATCATTTTATAGTCACTTATATAGTATCGTCGAAGGTACATCACATCACGTGCATCAAACCCCTTGTTTTACATTGACGTGTTTGACATTGACGTTTCCATATTTAGGATTTACACGTAGATAACCATTTAAAAACACTTTCCGAATACGGACGCTGCTAGACTTGTATTTTTCTTTCTGTGCATGCAGCATTGGAAAACTACAATAATTATTATTACGACACGTACGACTCGACGGAATCGTTGTACAGCCCTCAAGGCCACCAGCGAATTTTCACGCCTCCGGCGATCAAACCGAAGAACAACGTCTTCTTCAATTCCGACGACAGTCTATTCAAATCGGAAAAAAGAAAATTTACGATACCTCGAATCGAAATCGAAACCGACGAACCGGTTTTCAACCTGCAAGTCACCGACTTTTCCGAACCTTGCCCGAAAAACGTCACACTAACGTACGACGAAACGGGCAGCGAATTTAAACAGGAAAAAATAGAAGAATTCTGCGTGAAACCCGAACCGAAAATCATGAAAGACAATTTTGCTCAACAAAAAAGCTTCTCTATAGAAGTAAACGACAGTTCCTACGATATTGACGACATCGGTGATACTGACAAGTTTTTGAGTATTGGAGCTAGGAAATTTCGCCAACAACGACTCATAAGTTCGTCGTTGCAAGACTTATCGAGTTCTACTTCGAGCATAAACAGCGGCGTGCACGAATCTAACTTAGATCTCAGTCAGATAGGTAGAGATTCACCGGAAAAGCACAAAAACTGGCGATCTCCCTACGAAATCAGACATCGAAACGCAACCGACTTGTCTAAAAAGTTCGACGACAAAGCCATCAGCGTTCCTATCCTAAACAAACGAAAATACGTTACAAATAGAAGTAAAAGCGTTAGTGAAGAAAGATTAAACGATAAACTAACCGAATACGAAAGAATAGAAGTGCTGAAACTTCTATACGACTGGAGCTTAAACGGTTCCGAATCAAAAACCGAATTTAACATGAATCTTGCAGGTGATAATAATAATATAGTTAGAAAAGAGAAAGTTAAATTCCATTCAGAACCCGATTTATCCCCTAAAAGTAGAGAGAATAACTTAATAGTCATAACGAAGTTTTTATCAGACCATTCGCTTAGTAAAAAAACAAATCTGGACCAATTTTACCATAGTTGCGAGTATAGGAATTGCATATTCAATGTAGGGACCAATGATAAAGACTGTAAAGTACAAGACACCAATTTTAAACCTAAAAGTATACTCAAACAATCCAAAGATGTATCTGAGCAAATCGAATGTCTGAACAACATAACTAATTTACAAAGGAAGCCGAAGTACAATCGAAGACACAGTGAAATTATAGACACCAAACCATTTAATAGCCAATTAGTGCGTTGCGATAGCTTGGAAAGGTTAAACGATCTGCATAAGAAGCGCCACAAAAAATTCCCCGATTCTTATATAGTAACCAGGCGCAATAGCGCTAGAAAAACGATACAAAAAACGAATAACAATAACGAAAATCTAATATCATCACCCAAGATGATAGTGTTGCGAAAAAAATGCTTACCGAAGACCTGGAAGTCTTGTTCCGACATAAAAACCCGCAAAACGGTGCGAAAGTGTTGCCGATACGCCAAAAAGAGTTGCCCCGTTTCGAAGAATTGCAACGATTCGCCGAAGGCGGCTAGGAAGACGCGCAGTTGCGCTAGTTTC